GATTCCTCTGGTTTTCTTTCTCTGTTCAACAGAAATCATGTTATTCCTGTAAAACAGACACTTCTTGTCTTATAGGTGAAAAAGACACTTAACATAAATTGGATGTGGTCCTTGGGACCATCTGTTTTGCAAATTGTGCCATTGTGCTAACCTTGTCAAGGCAACCTCAAGTTCTGTTAGGAACTTTTCATATAGATAAATTAAAAAATATAGATACATATATGGATGAATACACCTCAAAGGCAGGATGTCAACCACTGATAGGCATATAGGTATGATCTAAAAAGGAAGCTAAGCAGCATAGTTCCTCATGGGACCACAACAAACCTGGTGAGCAGAGTCTTGGTGCTTGACTGTGTACAACTGTTATGTAGATCTCATGGCCAACTCAAATTACAAGTCAACACACAACTGTAATTTAAATGAAACTTAGCTACTCTTCCATTAACTTTGGATGCATTTCTGGAGAGGGATTAGAGCAACACTTTCATATGGCTTTCTTGAAAATAACTGGCATTCTCAATTTGTAAGGAAGCTCATTATGGTTCTTTTATTCTGTCATGTAAGTATACTTCTGGAGGATCATAAATGCCTAATATAACAGTAGCCTTCAGGCATTCTTAACTAAAATTATATTTTATCTTCTACCAGCTGTGCATTTCCAGGAGTGTAAATGATCCTTAGGATAAGCTGACTGTAAGACTTGTTACTCTAAACACAGAGAACCATAGTAATAAATAGCACTCTATTTTTCACATCATCTTTCTGTAGTTGATTTGCTCTCATGGATGTATGGACAGTTGCACAGTTTGTGGAGAAAATGGTCTGTTCCTAGAAAACTAGTTCCTATTAATTTCTGAATTATTTGTATATTTTTTTTCCCTGCATGAAGCATTCATGTGAATTGCATTAAGCCTTAAGGTACCAAGCTTATGCGTTGTATTTTCCTTCTCTCAGGAAAAGTGTGATAGTAGCAGCTTTGTTCAAATTAAGTACTGATTATTTCAGCCATCTAAATCCAGTTTGTGATTTTCGGTGGATAATGTGCTGTCATTGTCCACTTCTTACCCTGTTCTTTTTTCACAGCCACGCTGTGCAATGTTGCATAGCTACCAACCTGTAACCCAAATGTTGTTGCATTAGATGGAGAGTTGTGCTGCTCTCTGGGCAGTATACAGAGGATGTGTGTTGTATGAGAGGCCAAGCAAGCTGCTGTATGACTGTAAATTTCTGTAGGTTTTTCTCATGCTGTACATAGCTGCTAATTACTGAAGTGATTTACGTTTTAAGCATATTTTCCCTTTTGTTGTTCATTCTGCTTTTTTCAAGTCTTAAAATGGAAGTAATTTTAGTAATTAGTTATTTCAGGAAGCCTTGGGGATGTGGAGATAATCTGCTGGGCACTGTGCAGGTATAGAATACGCTACAGCCAGGGGGTGGTTGGCTTTCCCCCTCTGTGCACAAAAATCTGGGCTCTGCTTACTGAGGTCAGGGAGAGGGATTCCTCTGGATCATGCCTGCTGGAGTAAAGACCAACTCACTTATTGATGCCTTCATTCAGCATCACAGAAAATGGTGAGAGGGGAGAGGATCCTGAGCCTGCAGCCATGTGGAAAGCCAGTCAGGTGAAGCCTCGCTGCAGCCTTAGAGCAGACTGAGCCTTCTTTTCTCTCCTGCCTTTGTGGTTGAAGGAGAGAAATGGAGGGCTGCAGAGGGAATAATCAGCAGTACTCTCCTCAGCCAGGCAGCCATCTCCTCCTATTGACCTTGAAGTAATGAAAAAGGGATAGATTTTTCTGCAGGTTACCTCTGTGTGTACAGATAATGAGAGCAGAGAGTAATGAGCATAAATCTACATGGCTTTGCCTGTTTGAAAGTCTGGGCCATTGGAAAAATGACAGTACACAGTTTATTTTCAGTCTGTAATTCACATAAGTATGTGTTCCAAAGTGTTTCTTCTGGAGGTGGTTTTTTGCCTTGTACTTCATTTTATGCAGTAGTGGTTTTAATTCAAATGAACCTATTCCCTTTTGTTGACTTCAGTTTTCAATATGAGAATGGTTGTATTTCCCAAACCAGCAATAAACTGGTTTGATATTTGCATTTTTTTAAATGCAACTTTTCATTAGTTAATACAGTGCCTATGAAAGAAAAAAAAAAGTCCAAAATATTAAATGCATATATAGGACTTGTATTTAATATTTATTTTTAAAAACAAACAAAAAACCAAAACAAACAAAAACAACAACAGAAAAACCCCTCTTCTGAATTAGCAATGGTTAAAAAAAATTAAAAAAANAAAAAAAAAAAAAAACAAAACAAAACAAAAAACTTTGGAATTTGGGAGTTTGCTTTCAGATGTTGAACTGCCATGCACAAAGTAACCAGAAAGTTTTCTTTGGCAATTTGTTCATTCCCCTACCAGTGAGATGTAATTCATTAAGGCAGTTCCTTGTAAAACATTAACTCAGAAACTGGAAGGAATCTGAGACAGAAAATAATTAAGTAACCCTCATGATGCAGTAGTCCAACTACGGTGGCCAATGGATAAAGAATAGTAGCAAGGTGCTTTAGTACTTAGCTAAGATGCCAGGGAAATGTCAGCCAATAAATGATGTCATGCAGTCAGAGGCAGGGTTTGGTCAACACAAACTGACAGTTTTGTCTTTTAATCCCACTACGTACAATAACAAAACATCAGGAAGAACTATATTTAAAAACAGAGGAAATGTACTGAGCCATTAGCAGAGCTTGTTGCATTGTTTTTCCTCTGAGCTAGATCTCAAGTGAGATGATGGCTGCGCCGGTACTGAGCTCCCAAGGCACCTTCCCCCCTCAGTATGGGATTAACCTCTGCAATGGCAGCAGCATTTACTCTCTGGGGCAAATGGGACTGTGCTGGGGAGGTCTGATATTTTGCTTGGATCCCCATGATGGAGGCATTCCGTGAGTGTTTGGAGCAAAGCTGAGGCATAAGGGAGATGCTGACCCCTCAGTGAGTGTGCAGCACGTTGGGTTAACAGAGTGAAACACAGTCTGCCCCAGAGCATGGGGGGTCTGTAAGTCTGGCACTCTGGAGCAGCAAGGATGGTGGTCATAATTTTTTCCTCTTTCAAGGCCAGTTATCCTGTTAGGGCTTGCCTTTGGCCAGAGCAAACACTGTAGCTGAGCTGTGCTTGCTGGGGAATTAGGATAGAGGGAGGAGGTTGCCTGGCTTTGAGCTCTCTGCTGGAGAGCTGGAGGTGATGGCTGGTCACAGTGTACTCTGGCTGCTCCCCCAGCACAGCCTGGGACCTGGAAGTGATCTGGTCGTGTGGTAAGCAGATCTAGTTGCTTAGCCAACCAACCCTGGCCACAAAAACATGTATTGACATCAGTTCAGTGTGTTGAACAAGGTTGGTTGCAGTAAGACGAGTGCCAGAGCCAGCTCCAAGGCAGAATCATTCAAGGGGTTCCCACGGTGAAACTTCCCTCTTCCAACAAGCTGTTTCAGCTCACTCATGAAGACACACCCTAATCTGACCCTTTCTGTAGGTTGTGTTTGGAGTGTTTCTGGTACTTCAGGCTGTATAATTTTCTTTCCTACACAGCCATGTTTGAAGGTTGCCTCCTGTGGTCAGGTTAACCACCAGTTTTCATGAACTCTGCTGACCTGCCCTGGTGAAAAGTTTGTTCCTCAAAATCTAGCAAATAAGTTTTAATGCTTAAAGACTCTCAGCCAACAAACAGTCAAGCAAAGTTAAATTCCAGGTTTGTTTTGAGAGACTGTAAGGTCTTTCATCAATTTAGGTATCAATATAGGGCTTATTATAGCAGGGGCATTCTCCACTTATGAGGTTAAGATGTCAAAAGGTCTTAAGGAGGCATTAAGCCCAAATGCTGTTTTTAGAGCTCCTTGAATTAGTGGAAATATAGTGAGATATTCAGGGTGTGAATCCAAAGTGACCCAAGTTGATCCAGACTGGTCCTGTTTTAAAACTGCCCCACAGGCACAGCCTTTACACTGTACCAGTGAGGACACTGGGAATGGGGAAGCCCCTGGCTTAAGGGGCTGAAACAGGATAAAATTAAGGAGATCAAAAACCAGCATTATTCTGCCAAACCTGCTCTCCGGATATCTCCTTTGCCAGGGAGGAGCAAGGAATCCTGAGGCAGGGAGTTGGGAAACAGGGGAACCTCTGATTTAAAGGGGTTTAAATTGTTGTGGGGCACTTCAAGTTTTCAATGTCAGTCATATGCCTTTAATTGCTGCTAGAAATACCAATTTCAAATAATAGCAGAAGTAGCCTGAGCAGAGCTATAGCTAACTGTGTAATTTAATTCCATGAAACTATTGACATGTTTAAAAGTATGCAGATGCTAGTGTCTTATGCTAGATCAGGATCTTAATTATGCATAGTTTGAGATAATTGGGTTGCTTTAGCTTAGTATCTCAACCTGTTAGTTCTAACAACTAAATTAGGATTCAGCTGTACTTCCTGTATGTTTAGTAGAACTATTTCAATTTGCTCCTGACATTAGGTAAATGTTGTGATTAATTCTGCTTCTGTATTCTGGTTTTCTGTGGAAGAGGTCTGAGTTTAACACATTCATAACACCAGGTAAAATCAGACAATTACATCTTTGCCCTTTGCTGTGTGAGGTTTTTTCAGGAGATATAAATGGATAAATGTTCTGGATAAATATTTTGGGAAGCAGGCAAGTCCCAAAGAGTGTTCATTTTGTGATAGAATTTGTTCTTAGGTTGCTGTGCTAGCCTGTATTTTTTGGCTTTTGTTTCCTCTTTCTTGTCTTTTAGAAGCTCATACTTAAAAATTAATCCAAAAAGTACCAAGTTTGACATTTTTAACAGAAAAAAAAGATGTGGTAAAGATCACATCTGTGATCGAGCCTGTGTTGAACAATCCAACCTTTCTCTTAATCTAAGGTTTACATGCAAGGGTAGACTGATTATCTGCTTACAGGTGCAGAAGTATAACTGAATGTCATTGTTTCCACAGATGAGCACCATGCCAGGGCTGCCCACAAGGCCATGCTTCTATGACATTGACCTTGACCCCATCACAGAGCAAGTGAAAGGATTGTTTTGAGAGTGACATCCAAATTCAGGTCAGTCAACAGCCTTTATTTTCTTGTTCCAGCCTAGGGGAGAATGTTTGTGCCTGGTATGTGTGTAAGAAAGGTTGTCAGGAGTTTATCTAGGCTCTAGTTTCACTAAGGATTCCAGACACTTTGGGAGTGTATTTCATAATGTGCAATTTATCACATGGGTTTCTCATTTGCTGAATGGTGACTGGCACTTTGCTGTTGTCCACTGACGGTGCCTTTTTGACTTCCTGGCACTGTCAGTTTGGCATCAGGAGGAGCCAGCTCTGCAACTGTGCTGCTCTTGGCTATGGAAAAAGGCAGGCTGAAGAAACCATGTCATCTTACTAACCTCAAAAGAAATACTCTTTGATACTGCACTCACGTGGCAGTGTGTGTCTGTCATTACCTAGATATCACAGAAGATATTTCTCAGTTTGTTCATGAGCTTTGCCTTGTTTTTTCATGTTTTGTTTTCATAGCTGCTGTCATCTCTCTGAAATGGTAATAAGCATTTCAGGAACACAAAGCTGTCCTCTTAGCCTGGTTTTCATGCCAGATTCTCTCCCTTTTCCTCGAAGGTTGCAGTTTACCCACCACCTCCTCCCTTTCTCTAAGTACTTAATCTTCTTGGTGTCCTGCTTTAATTTTGTGCAGCACATGTTCCTCACTTAAAAATACAAGATGTTATGAAAATATTTCATGCTCCTCCACTTTAACCTTTTAATATAATAAGTGGAGTAAGAGAGAATGTAACCCTGACTGAAACAAACCATGTGTGCCTGTCATGGGATTCTCTCCTTTCATCACTTAGCTCTCTCCCCCAGTAGATTGGTCTGGAGAGCAAAAGGGTTTTTCTTTTTTAAGACAGAACAACACTATTACTATGAGCTAACAGGACTGTGATGGGACCGCAGATCAGCCACAGCTTTGAGGTGGATGTGCCCAGGTGCTTCAGCCCTGCTTTAGCAGTCCTTTCTTACTGTGGACTGAGAGAAAGGGCTTTCCTTTTCTATTTCTGTGTTTTGATGGATTGTTTGGAGGTGGGGAGAGGTTTGCATAACCCAGCCAGACCAAGTGAACTGTTCACTTGCCCACATATTCACATGAATGCCACAATATTTACGTAACATCTGCTGAGAGCAGATTCTGCCAGTTTGTGTGTGCCAGTCAAGACAAGTAACAAGCACCCACCTTGAAAGTTAACCTCATGCACAGGTAATTTATTACCTGTATGCAAACAATCCCTGTGGCTGGGTAGCATTGCACATACCACTTCTTGGCCTATATCCCATTTTTCTTACTGATACACATTATATGTCTGGCAGCTTCATGCATACATATTGATTCATCATGTGTCAGCCATGTAATTGCTTCTGAATCATTTGGAATGACTGTAGAATCCTAATGTAAAATCTATATGCAGATTCACACAGCCTGCTTAATTGGGTGTTTACTGCCTTGTCTTACACAAATCCATCCAAACCAGGGACTGATGAGTTTGGAAGAACAACAGTAATTAAGTAGGCAAAATACTCCATTCCAACTGTGAAGGCCTTTCATTGGAAGCTGTGCATGAAATGAAAATGCTAAACTTGGCTTTTAGTCAGTGATGGTGTTTTGTCAGATGTAAAAAGAAATGCCAATGAAGTCACAAAAACATAATAGGTAGGAAATAACATATATGACCAACTGTTAATAAATTATTTTAATTTCATTGTGGAGGTATTGTTGGCATCTGACAGATGAATGATTCATTAAGTTTAAGCCTTTTAAAGAAAAAAAAAACAGCTTGATTATATGTATATTTCACCAATATAGGCACATGCTCACCTGTGTTCCTACCTTTAACAATCTAAATAAATGTCTTGAGAGTATGATAATACCCAGGGAGCACCACACAAGTCAGTCAAGTGTTCATTAGCTCTAAAATTCATCTGGTTCATGTGGTAGATTTGTACATTGCTAATTTTGGAAGAAGAAAGAAATAATATTCCCATGTAGTCTTTACTCCCAACTTTCTGTGGAGAAGTTTAGTAGTATCCTTTGTTTTCACACACACTCTGAAGTGAGCCCACACTGCAGGTGATACTATGGCTTTGAGGTCTTTGTTTCGGTGATGGCAGAGCAAGCAATTTTTTTTAATTTAATTTGAATTCTTCAGCATTTTAGTGTATTATCTAATATTACTAATAATATGGTGTTTTGCCAGCTCATTAGGGCTGATTCAGATCTTTAAGACATTTTAATTGAAAAATATTTAGAAATTTGTGGAAGAACTGCAGATATTTCATTATAAACATGCCTGTAGAGCTGAGAACAATTGTTTTAGTGTGCAGTTAATATCATCCTCTGCAATGCATATCTTCATCAGACCTGTGAAAGAGATACAGGCAGAAGTTCTTGCTTCTCAGGATGCTGTGTGAAGCTCTGGCTGAGCTAAAATACTGGGTGTAGTTTGCGACTCTGATTTTTCTCTATCACTTCACACCAGTCATTTGAACGTGCTCTGAAATGTCATAGAAGCAAAAACCTTACCATAAAAGTCAACTCTGTTTTTCTATTGACAAATAGTCAATAGATGGGTACACAATATTGCAGTCTCTCTGTAGGAGCAACATGGTCTATCAAAGAAAATGAAACATTAATATACAGAAATGAACCCAAAGGAATCTGGTTAGTCCTTTGTCACTGGCCACTGTCATATTTAAATTATACTGCCCAGCTCATACACTAAGAAAGTTGAAACTGTAATATTTGCTCAGTGAGGAGAAGTCCCAAACTAGACCTGCACAAATAAAGTCTGTTAAGGACCCCTGTGAGCTCTAAGGATCCCTATAATTTAATCAGTGGCAGTAGGTGTCTGCTCATACTATGCAGGCTTTTAAGTATCTGGGTTGATGGTTGCAGGGGGAAATTGTTCTCCTCACTTGGTTGTGACTTCATAAGGCTGCCACTGTCCACAGTGTCTGATGTATTCTCACACTCTTTAAAACTGGCAGAGCATCAGAATTATTTTGATACACATCATGGATAGTTTGTTGCCCTCAGAGCTTTTCTGAACTTGAGAGGAATCCCAGAGCTCTGCCTGTGACCATCTTCATGGTCATAAAAAAGTCCATAAGAGCAGGACACCAAGACTGGTGTTCTAAAATTGCAAACTACTTGTTAGATGTTTTCATTTTAATTTATTAAAATACAAAGTGTTTTAAGACCTTTCCCTTACATCCACAAAACTGAGCCTGTGAACAAAAAAAATACTTTTTTTAGTCTCATTCCACAGTATTAGCTTTCAGTCAGCAACAATTACTACAGTATGTGCAGTCTGAAGTCTGTATCATGCTGGAGTACAAGTACAGATTTTTGTTTCTCACCTAGTAGGGCTGCACAGATAATAAATAGGAGGTGCATATGGCTTAACTATACATTTTTTTTATTATGGTTAAGGCAAAAATATGCCATTTCACTGAAGCACTCATTTTAGAATGTGACGCCTTTTTTTCTTTAAAGAAAGCAAAGATATCTTGTTTCAATGTATAAATTTCTTATCTTTGTCATTTCAGAAGCCTGAAAATTAAGAACTCCAACTTTCCTGTTTCCTGCAAGTAGGACACAAAAAATGAATCTGAAATATTCCTGTTATGTGTCTCTGGAGCAATGTCAAGATAGACCAAAGAGCAAAAGTTTACTCTTTCTTCAAACTAGTTTTTTATGATGAAATATAGCTGTAAGGTTAAAAAAAAAAAAAAAAAAAAAANAAAAGGCAAAGCAAAAAAAAAAAGAAAAACCACCACAGCAAGCTAAATTTTTACTGTCTGTAATGCAGGAAGCTCTCTACTGGGGCTTACGCTTGTTTGTGTGGATAAAATGACATTGAAAAAGAGCAGTTTTTCAAGTCAGAGTTTTTGTCTTTTCTCAGAGGAGTGTACAGAAGTATTTCCTTTATCTTGGCTATCTACTAAAAACTTGCGTAAACATGATTATGCTGTGTGACCAAGCCTATTTCTCTCTGAAAAGTACACTTTTGCTCCTGGCATTCAAGAGCTGAAACTACACATAGATTAACTGCACATTTTTGAGTTATCATCAAGCGTTGCTCTGGATGCGTTTGGGCAACAGCCAAGCTTCAAGCAAGGAAGATATTAAACAGAGAAAGAACAGAGCATGTATTTTGTAAAAAGTTTTTAATGTATAATTTGTTTTCCTTGTTGGGCAAAGATCTTTTGAAACACTTAAGCCATGGCTGTCTTGTATCCATAGGTCTGTCTTTATTCAAAGCGTGTGTTACAGGCTGTCCAGCTGATTATGTGCTTGTTGTGGTGAAGCTGGTTGTTCAGACAGGGCACTGCTCCTTCTGAAGTGCTGTTTTGCTCCTGTTCATGGCTAATGAAGCCTCCTGCTGTGCTGGCTCCCGACCTAGAGTTCGTCCCTGGCAGTACACAACGGCCCACTAACAACAGAGGAACATCCATCAAGCAGGATGCAGACAGGGCACAGCTTTTTTCTGCTTCATTTTGCAGGTTTTAACGACCACACTTGTAAAAGTGGAGGGTATTTTCATTTGAAGGGCTATTCAAACAAGTGGAACTGCAAACTGTGTGCTTTAATTTGTCTCAGTAACTTTACTTTCCTGGTTTTTCCTAAAACCTGTAGCAAAACACAGGATACTGCATTGAACTTTCCAAACTGCTATTCCTCAGGAAACTCTCGCTGACTGACTGTTGGTTCCTTCAATAACAAAAAATGTGACAGAACAATAGGGTGAATTGAGACAATAGGCCATTGTTTTTTTTAGGTAAAAAGCGGTGAAATAATGATGAGAGGGTTTAATTTCCTGATGACGTTTTCCATCCTGTCGCTTTGCTCTGCTTACGCACATCTGCATGTTATGGGCTTTTGCAGTGTAGCCTTGGTTCCCTTCTACAGAGCCACATTTGGAGACTTAATTATCTCAGGAACTCTGTAGTAATTGAGGGGTTTGTTTTGGTTCTTAAAATCATGCTTCGTTATTTATAAACTCAAAACTATAATTATGGACAGTAGAACAAACTGGGGACAATTAATTGTCTGTGCCTTCCCTGGACTAGCACGGAAATGTCTGCTGACTGCATTTCAGTGCTATTCATAGCATGGTCCTCCAGCACTACTGGGATTGCTGTGAAGTGTAAAAACTAGAGCAATTTAATATTTTATCCTTACTAGACGATAGAGCTCATAACAGCCTAGACTGTGGATGCTTTAATTACACTGGGACATGACAAACATGATAAGTAGAAAGTCAGATTCAAGCTCTCAGAGCTTCTGGGAAGAGATTTCTTATATTTTCTATTAAATTTTGCCACAAAATACAACACAATCCTACTCATACAGCAGTGTTGTAAATAAGTCTTGCACACATTCATCTATTTAGCCAAGAAATAACCAAAGAGTTTTGGAAGAATATAGGTGTGGTTTCAAGACACACTTTTCCTAGTAGCTTCTTTACAAGAAAAATAAACAAGGTTTTCCCTCCATTTTGTCCAGAGAAATTCAGAAAATACATAATCGTGCCTTTCTAGGAGTCACTGTGGTTCCTCTGCAGGTGCGCTGGAATTTTCCCCACGCAGTGTGGGAAACTAAACATGGTCTGATTGCTTGTGAAGCTTCCATATGGATGTGGATGTTTGAGCAAGTTTTATAAGTCATCTCAAGCTGCTGTTTGATACTTTCTATGGTGTTGTCTCCATCTTACCCCTTCAGGCTACACATGCTGGGGCCATTTATCTGACCCAGCATTTTCTCCCTAAAACACCATTCCAGCCCATTTAGTTGAGAGTAATTTTTCTACTGTCATGTGCACAGGATTTGTGATATTGTTTAGATAGCTTCAATAATTCAAGGAAAGCTGAAATGGCCACTTTTGTTGTAGCTTTTCCCCCACCCCATCTAGTTAACTAGCTCAAAAATCTCTCAAGCTATTGCATTTTTGGTCCTTTGATCCAAAGGGATTGAGCTATTGGCTGCCAGCTGAGCTGCAGAAACTGACACAGTATGTTCCCTGGGACCCCCTGATTCTGAGGCCTTCCTCCAGAAGAGTTTAACATGAAAACTTTTTAAGATCAGTCTTATTGGTAGGTGTGTCACTTGTTACATGGATGTGACTGTGGGACTCCTTTTTTTTTTTGCATCTACTCTGAGCAGCACTGTCATATGGCAGAACCAGAGCTTTATAAGGCAGCTTGCCAAGCTTATCCCTGCATTTGCTGAAGCGTGTTTAGCACCATATGGTTGTTTATTATCAGAAGATCTGCTTTCTGTAGTGACTGAATACTTTGTTATTGCTACTGCTGAACTAATTCTGCAATGACATTGAAATACTTCAGAATACATGCAACAGGTTTCTTCATTTGTAGTTTGAAATTCAAGCTTCCAGAATTTCAGTTGCTATGAACATGAAAATAAAGTCTGTGTGCTAGTGTTTAGTTTGCACAAGTGGTGTCTGTCTGAATTCATTAATAAATACATCCATTATTTAATATTGTTCTCTCTATGATCTTGTCTACTTAGTGACTTTACTTTTTTTTTAATTCCTCATAAGCCACTTAGTCTTGTCATGCCCATGTCTCCAGCTAAACACAGCTATGCCAAGGAAGGAGAGGAGCTCAGCCATGGTGTGGCCAGATGTGAGCAAAACATGGGACTCTTACTTGACTTCCCAGAACCCAGGAAAGTGTTTGGTGCCTGGCTGTTGCCACAAAAGGCCATGCACTAGAGGGCTGTCCATGTGTTCTTCTCCATCAGTACAGTCCTTTTGAAATTGGTTTGTTCTTGGGGAAGGACACATGAAGCTAACATCCTGTTCTGGTCCCAAAATAATCTTGCTGTTGCCTTTGGTTCTTAATGTGAAGGGCTGGATCAGTTGCAAGGGCCAGTTGGACAATTTTCATTTCTTGAGTTGTCAGCTAGATTTGTGTGAAGCATTGTCAGGTACAGGAATATTTATGGGCTTCTCAAGGTGGGATTCAAACACAAGTGATACAAAAACTTAGGAATTAATGAGTGCTAAATCATTAGGCCATAACAGAGGAGAAAACATGCTGGGAGCACAAATTAATAAAGTGGAGAAGGTATTGAGCATTGCAGGCACATAGTGGGGAATGCTCCTGTTTTCTAAATAGCTAAATGAAGTCCCAGCCCTGTGGTTTGCATTAGTTCTAAGTTTTTAACATGCTTCTCATGGCTAGATTTCCATACAGTTTCTCTGCAATGTTTCAGCCAGGACCTTAGCCATATGGAACAGGTCTCAAGCACTGGGTTTGTTCTTGGTGGCCCATGGGTCAGTCCTGCTGACAGCCACCCAATCAACCAGGGGTGAGTGTGGGAGGCATATGCAAACTCTCCACTCCACGGAATTACTAGGGTGATGAGGGAGGGTGTTACCTCTTTAACCATGCAGGTTTTCATAGAATTTTCTTTGGACAAAATATTTTAGGGAAAAAAATTAAGGCCAAGATATGGCCCCCTGCTTGAGAGGGTTGGAATGGAAACACTGAAAGCTCCTTCAGGCATTTGTCCTGAGAACAAGATTGCTGTGCTATACATGTTACCATTCACTGCAGAGTTAAGGCCAGAGAGTTTACATAAAGTAAGCTAAATTCAAATATTTTCACAAGTGTGGTCATAATAATAGTTCCCTACTCCATGTGGTTGAGTGTAATGTATTACATACACACAAGCATGAGCAGAAATCAATTTGTGTATGCAGCTTTTGTGTAAAATCTTCAATATTTGCTTCCCCAGTAAAATTTTTAACTTAACCTTTTGAGTAATGATTGGGAAGAGCTAAACTGCTACATGCCAGCATTGGCTCAGCTGGGCAAAACCCTGATGAACCTTTTAAAATCAACCCTGCGCTGGGTGATCTCCATGTTCTTTTCAAGGTAAACTCTTCTATGCTCCTATGAGTTGAGATATTAGCAGAAAAAGTTAGCACTGAGGAAGCCCAGAGCTGGAACACACCTCTCCACACACACCACAGGCACCTTAAGAACTTCATTTTGCAGAGTACTAATAAAAAAGAGGATGTATCAAATACAAGTCATGCCCACTTCTATGCAATACACTAAATCAAGGTTTAAGTCATGACATTTTAAAAGCTAAATTGTTTCCCACTGGGCAATTTCCATCATGTTCTTTCAACTCAATTACCATCAACATCTGGTCAAAGTTACATTCTTAATGCCAAAGAAGAGTTTCAGCTTTTCAGGATATAGCCTGTTAGTTGCCCATATAATGCAGCCCCTGCATGTTCTTATCACACACACAGCTTATATTTATTCTCCAGAAACATACAATTATGGCTGTATTTGTACAAAACATATATTATATACATGACATGTAGCTGCACCACTATATGAACTCCAGGATATTTCGTTCCATTTTCTATTTTGAGGAAAGGTTGAAGGGGAAAACAGAGAGGAGAATGTCTGACTTGGGACACCAGACCAGCCCCTACACAGCTTTCAGTCAAACAGAATCTCTGCAAGGACTCAAAGTCCCTTTATTCACTGTTTCTGTGCTTGGGTGCAACACCTATTCCCACTTGGCTCCAGCTCATCTCAATCACCTTGCTGTTTCCATTGCAGTCAGAAAAAGTTCTATTTGCCAACCTGTTGGGGTTTTTTGAGTGTTTAAGGTAAGTGAACTCTCTCTGAGGGATGTTTCTGAGGAGAGCAACAAAACCAGCATCTTAGTCCCATC